TCAACGATTGGATCCTGCAACGAAGCCCTGCCCCGAACCGCTTCGCTCATGCGCTCGGGGCCTTATTTTTTTTTCTCAGTAGATCAAGTAGATCAAGATCATAGTTCTACCCCTCTCAGCGCGACGCGGGCGCCCAGCAGGTCGTTTCCCTGCGGGGTTGAGGCTAACAGCATAGCTCCGCCCCTCCCTGCTTTGCGCGTGCGCCCAAGTCCTCGCTGTTAAGGGGTGGGGCCGACAGTGCAGCCCCGCCCCCCTGCGCTGCGCCTGCGCTCAGGGCCTCGTTTTTTTAGGGGTGGAGCCGACCGCACAACTCCGCCCCCTCTGGGTTGCGTGTACGCTTAGGGCCATAATTTAGGGGATCGAGCCGACAGTACTGGTCAGTCTCTCACTGAGCTGCGCGTGCGCTTAGGGTTTAGACGTCAAAAGGCGGGATCGTGCGCGGAGGTGAGTACGGGAGGTGCAGTTGGCTTGTCATCGGGGCCCCACTCTGCCTCTCCATGGCCATCCTGGGCTCCCCCCAGTACGTGGAGGCTCCGTTGTCAGAGCGGCTGCTCGAGGGTTGTGGACAGACAGTGGCCGCGACAAGGCCGCCTTGCCGTGAGCGGCTGGTTCCCTGGGGCTTTCGGGTGCCTGGGCGGGAGGGCAGCGGGCTCCAGGTGAGCAGGGCGCGTGTGCACAGGCCGCCCGCAACCTTTCTCCTCCGGGAAATGCCCTAGGAGAGCTGCAGGGTAGCTCGATGGTGCAGATGCGCGTCCCCAGTACTGAAGAAGGGCCCTGAGCACCCCAGGGACGCCGAAAGAACAGTATGTATGTCTTGGAGAGGGTGCAGCCGGAGTCAAAGATACCTCGGGCATGTTGCTAGGAGGGGCTGTTCCTGGACCAGGTGGATTGACACGGTGACTTGTGTGTCAGGAAGTGTGAGGATGGCGCAGGACAGGACAGGGTTCAGATCAGTCGTACCGACGGCACCTAACAACAACCTTTCAGCCCGAGTGAGAGGAACCTTCTAACCAGAAGGACTGAGCTAACCTGCAGTGGAGGTAACAGCTTTATGGCTGGGCCGTGTCCTTCAGCCAGAGACTAGGGATCCTGGGGATTTTTGTTGTTTTTAGCCCAGGAGGGGAAGGATGGTATGGCATTTCTTAATGCGTGCTTCCAAGATTTATTTTCACACTTGTTTGTTTATCCAAGTCCAAAGCTGATGGAGAAAAAACCCATCACACTCAGTGGAGTCATCCCACCGGAGTGCTGGGAATCAGCTGTTAGGAAGTTGAGCAGACATCCATTTGTTGTTGTTAGGGGCCGTTTCTGGACAGTGTTGGCAGTCTAAAAGCATCAGAGTTTTTCTTGAACGCATTCGAGAGCTGTGGTTCCCTGGCAACCTCAAGTGCGTGTCATTGGACTGCGGTCAAGGCGATTCTACAGGAAGGAGTAGGACTGCACGATGGGGGAAGCTGAGCTGGTGGCCCAGTGGTGGTCCGTTGCCAGCAGAAATGGCCGGCTTGAACTCAACAGCCTCTCCAGGGGAGAAAGATGAGGCAGTCATCGTCTGTAGACATTTACAGCCCTGGGGACGCTGCTGGCAGTTCTTGGTCCTCCTTGGGTCCCTGTGATTTGGAATCATCACTGTGGAGATAGGCTTTACAGATTTTTCTCATGAAGCAGCTGGTGGTTTCAAGTTGTTTTGATGCTGAGTTTAAAGCTTAAACATGTATTGTTACGTGCTGTCGAGCCGCTTATGACTCATAGCGACCCTATGTATAACAGCTCTGAAGCCTGCCCTGTCCTAGGCTAGTCTCCAACACACCTTCCCCTGTTACCCCAGTCACTGTGTCAAACCTTCTCATCCATGGCCTTCCTTTATTGTGCTACCCTTTCAAGCATGATGCCCTTCTCCAAGGACTGGTCCCTCCTGGCCATGTGCTCAAAGTATGTGAGATGGAACTTCAAAATCCTTGCCTCAGAAGTGACACTTGGTTTCACTCTCTCCAAAACAGACCTGTTTTTTTCTCTTGGTGGTCCATGGCATGTTCAAGACTCCTCTCCAGCACCACAACTCAAAGGCATTGGTTCTTCTGTCATCCTTAGTCATTGTCCAGCTCTCTGATGTATAGCAAGTAATTGGGAAGACCATGGACTGAATCAGGTGCACTTTAGTCTCTAGACTGATATCGTTGCTCCTCAGAACTTTGGAAAGGTCACTGACAGCTGAGTTCCCCAACGCAGTTCATCTGTTGATTTCCTGACTGCTGGTGCCAAGAGTGTTGATTGTGGAGCTGAGCGAGCTGAAATTGTTAACACCCTCAATCTCTTCTCCATCTATCATGGTGCTGTCACTTGGTCCGGTGGTGAGAAGCTTTGTTTTCTTGATGTTGAAAACTACATATTGAAGACTGCAGTCCTTGACTGACAGCAAATGCTTCAAATCTTCCTCAGTTTTGATAATGGACAAAGTTCTTAGTCCTGCCACTTATGCCCTCCCCCCCATTTATCCAACAAACTTGAGCAAAGGGTCTTTCTTAGCTCCAGTTTGAATGGTGCAGAGTTCCCAAGCAGCACTCCCCCCCTCGGTCTCATGCCAGGTCTCGGGCTCTCTGCTGCAGCTGCTGCTCCTGTAGGCCCTAGTCTGGTGAGAGAATCTCTGGCTCTGAAGGACACACTTCATTGTCTCACTTTCTTTATTCCTGGTCGGGAGGAGTCTGCTGCTTCTGCTGCTGGTTCCACTCAGCTTCATGGTGAGACGAATCAGTCCCCTTGTGAATAGGTTAACATGCCTTATTCACATTATTTCTGCCCATCTACATGGCTAAATCAAACTCAGTGGCTAGGAAAGTAATTTTGAATTATAAACCCCACACCAGAGCTCTTTAACCTGCTAGCACTGAGACTATTTCCAACTCAAAGCTGCCCCTCCACTGATTGTCCAAGTGTAAACGGCATAGGAGATTGTCTATATTTCCCCAAAGGATGTGTTGGTGGAGTCAAGCCACTGGAGGGTACATTTGTGGCTGTGACATGTTGTCAGGTGCAGAGTGTGACTCAGCAACTCTGTAAACAACAGGTCTCAACCCTGGCTTGTCCTGTGCCGTCCTCATCATCTCTGCCACACTCGAGCCCACTGCTGTGTCACTGTGTCAGCCATCTATCTGGTCGGGATCTTCCTCTGCCTCGCTGACCCTCCACCTTCCCAAGCATGATGCCCCTTTCCAGGGAGTAGCCGCTCCTGGCAACAGGCTCAAAAGATGTGAGAAAAAGTGCTGCCGTCCTGGCCTCTAAGAAGCACTGTGGCTGCACCTTTCCAGGATGTAACTGGGGTTTTTGGCATCCATTGGATATTCAGTACTCCCAGCACTACGGTTCAGTGGAATCAGTTCTTTCTCTGTTATCCTTATCCATTGTCCAGCTCTCAGAGGCATAGCACAAGTGATTGAAAAGACCATGCCTTGAGTCAGGCGCACCTTAGTCTTCAGAATGAGAGCATTGCTCGTCAGTAATTTGAAAAAGGTCCCCGACAGTGAAGTTTACCATTGTGCATGATCTCCTGTCTGCTGGTACCGAGGGGGTCAATTGTGAATTCAAGGAGGATGAAATCTTTGACAAGTTCCATCTTTTGTCCATCTACCTGTTGGATCAGTAGTGACAATTTTTGATTTCTTCATGTTGAGATATAATCCTTATTGAAACTATAGTCTTTAATCTGCAACAAGTGCTTTAAATCCTCCTCAGTTTCCACAAACAAGGTTGTGTCACCTGCATAGCACAGGTTTGATTGCAGCACAGCTCTTTACCACTGGGCCACCAGAGGTCCCTTTTGATGCGATCATGGCCCAGAATATCCTATAACACGTAGATCTCAAGCCTCAGATGAGAGACTGCTCAGAGAAGCACCGCGGGATGGATTTTAAAATGAACAAACCCGTAAGCCTGCGATAGCCCATAGCCTGGACAGAGTCCATCACCAGTGTGATCTCTCTTGCAGATGGCGGCTGAGGCGTCGTGCCCCATCCTGGGCGTGTTTGAGTGCCAGCTCTGCGCTCTGTCAGCTCCCTACAGCTACGTGGGACAGAAGCCCCCGAACACCCGCTCTGTCATGTGAGTACATACTTTCTGGGCCTCTGGCCCAGGAGGGGCCTGTCTAGTGGCTATGTGGTGCCGTCGGCCTGTCCCCACCAGGCCATGGCCTTCAGCGGTCCTGGGTGGGTCCTGTCCACATCTCCCGCCCCAAGTTTGACACCTGCACCACCACGCTGAGCTCACCTCACTACACACAGGACCCCGGGAGCCTCGTGTGAGGCTGTGCCCTTGGCTTTGCCCTGCTGTTTCCGTGGAGATGGCCTCTTAGCTGGAAGCCTGGAGGCCCAGCTTCCCAGCCCCAGCTGTGTTGAGTGGAGCCAGTGGGCCCGGGGCTTGTTTCTGGGTGTCATGGGGAGAGCGTTGACCAATTCTCTACTTGTGAGGAGATGCGGTGGTGTGTGACAAGGCTCCTTTTTCCCCTGGTGGTTCTCTGCTGGCCAGGAACTAAGGTGTCATTGTTATGTGGCCCTGTCAGTGTCCCTGTTACACTGTGAGGTTAGCCTTGCTGGGGCTGGGTTCTGGGTCCCCTTGGGTGGAAGCTAGCAGCCTG